TAGAATAATAACCTTTCTTATACTTCAGACATTATGACTCTTCAGTCTTCTATTTGTCTAGACTCAAAACTGGAGGCAAAGCTCCTGATGGCACACGCAGGTCACGGAATACTGGTCGGCAGTAGTCCCTGCTGCATGCAAGATACGAGGCTTTTGCTAGTGACACAAACTGTGGATCACAAGACATTAGAATTGGAAAAGACCTTGACAAAAATATGCAAGTGTCCTAGTTTCTTTGCCTACAGAAGTTTATCTAAATTCTAATCTCACCACTATTTAGTAGCAGGGCCCGGTAACACAATAGTAGAATCTCAACTGCCAAGTGTGTACCAGACTCTATTCGAAGTGTTTCACACATTTGCTCATTTAATCTCATAGCCACATTATGAAGTCAGTCACCTCCATCAATCTCAAGGTATCATATTACCTCCATCTTCCACTTGATGAAACTAGGGCAGGAGAGGCTAAGTAACTCCCCCAAGGTCGCACAGTGGTTGAGTCAGAGTTTGAATCTGGCTTGTTCAGTCCCACATCCCAACCTCTTAACCACTAGGCTATTCAGGTCACTAGTGGCTTTTGTGAAATTTTTTAAATGTATGTTGAGGTCTCAGGTTTAAGGTTTATCTTCTCATGTCAGGAGCAACTCAATTCCACTTGGTTTTCTTCCCGGTTTTAAAACCCTAGGGTGAAACATTTAAACAAGAACAAAAAGCCAAATCCACCAGTTAAGCTGACTGCGTGAAAACACCCTTGACAAACCTCTCCTTGAGGGGAGCAAATTCTCTTCTTTCTTTCATTTACTTTTAAAAATCTTTATTGAAAGTATTCCAGATGTTCCCTTTTCCCCATTTAACCCCTCCTCCCCGCTCCCACCCAGCTTCTGCCTTCCCGGCACTGTTGTCTGTGTCCATTGGTTATGCATATATGCGTATGCGTTCTTCGGTTTATTTCTTCCTGCCCCCACTCCCTCCCACCCCATCTTTCTTCCCTCTGAGGTTTGTCCATCTGTTCCCTACTTCCATGTCTCTGGATCATCAGTGTATTTTGTTCATTATATTCCATAAATAAGTGAGATCATGTGGTACTTCTTTCTCTGACTGGCTTATTTCACTTAGCATAATACTCTCCGGGTGAGGAGAGAAAATTATTTTAATAATATCCTTTATTTTTCTCCTCTTTTTGGGTTGCTTAGAGATATAGATCTAGAGTATCTGCTCTTAAATTGTAGTGTATGGGGAGAACCAGATATACTCATATTATTTTTTATTTTTTTAAAGGGCTGGGAGCACCCGTGGGTCTGGAACCACCCTCGTGGGCAAGAGTGGTTAGCAAGCTGCAAGCTTAATGCGAAGGAACTGCTGGGCTAAAGCCAGCCCCAGATGTACTCAAAAATAGAATATTGCTGTGCACAGAATATCCCTGGAAGGATTAAAAAAACATTTTTTTGTTAATCCTCACTTGAGGATTTTTTTTTTTTCCCCACTGATTTTTAGAGGGTGGGAGGGAGGGAGGGAGAGAAACATCAATGTGAGAGACACACATTAATTGGTTGCCTCCTGCATGACCCCACTGGGGGCTGGGATAGAACCTGCAACCCAGGTACATGTCCTTAATCAGAGCTGAACCCGAAACTCTTTGGTCCACAGGCCAGCGCTCTAACCACTAAGAAAAACCGGCCAGGGCTGGAAGGATTTTTTTTAATGGTAATATGATTGTGCACAAGGGAGAGGAGCTGAGTGGGAAAAAGTAGGAGAAACTGTTCTAGTACTTTCTGTACCTTTGGAATTTACAGCCATGCAAATGGATTATCTAATCAATACACAAAATTAGAGACAAGATCTCACTTGTCTTTTTGTTTAATCCTCGCCTGAGGATACACTTATATTGAGTTTAGAAAGAGAGGAAGGAAAAGGGAGGGAGAAACACTGGTGTGAGAAAGAAACACTGATTGGTTGCCTCCTGTATATGCCCCGATCGGGGTTCAAACCCACAACCTCGGGATGTGCCCTGATTGGGAGCCGAACCCATGATCCTTTGGTACACAGGACAATGCTCCAACCAACTGAGCCACACCAGCCAGGGACTGCTTGTCTTTTTCTGTGTGTTTCATGTCTGTATGCCTAACTCTGACTCCTATATTTCTTGGTTATTACAACATAACCATTTCCCACGTTACTCAAATTTTTCATAAACATCAATTTTATGTACACATCCTTGTTAAATATCTCAGGAAATCTGGGCCCTCCCAATACAGATAACTTACTTTCTCATTTTCCTTTGGGATTTTTCATTAACGTGAATCACATTAACATTCTGAACTTCTCACTTTCCGAAGAATTAGCCGACATGTACTAAATCTATACTATGTTTAGGATAGAACACATGGCATTTGTACTAAAACATTACCTGACTCAATCCTCACAACAGCCTGAGGCAGAAATCGTAATCCTCACTTCAGATGAGCGAGCAGAGCTTCGGAAGGATCAGTTGGTATTTGGAACCCGGAATCGGGATTTCAGGTCCCAGGCCACGCTCTCCTCACCGAAGATGCTGCCAGTGTCGTGGAGCTCTCAGGGACAGCTCCCCTGACCTCCAGCACAGTCACGAACTAGCGGTAGAAAGGTGAGGTGCTGTGCTCCCTGCACTAGTCTCCACGCCGAGAGGATGGCAAACGCAGCTCTGCCACCCTAGCGCCCTTCCAGCAGAACAGCCAATGTGTGGTGGCAGCCAAGGGAGCCTGGGCAGGTCTCAGAAGGCACCAGAGTCAAGGACAACTGAAGGCGAATTAGGGAGGACAGAAGCCACAGAGGCAGCTCCCAGGATGTGCATGTGTCCAGGACTCCAGAAGGCTGGGCAGAATCTCTGCAGAAAATGGTGGCAAAGGTGGGTAGGAGTGGCAGGGGAGGGGCCTCGAATGTCACTCAAAGGAGCTGGGAAAATCCCAGGATGGCACAGTCACCCCGTGCCAAAGATCCTGGCACTGCCACTTCACTAACCATGGGGGTCATGGGAGATTTCCACTACTCTGATCAACAGACTAACTGCTGAGAGAAATTTCATCCTCCACAGGCAGGAGGAAGCAAGGAAGATGGCCACAGTACACTTAATTCTGACCCAAAAAATAACTGGTGGCTGAAGTGGGAGTGATGGGGAGCCGAGGAGGTCAGCGTGTGCTCAAGGAAACACAGCCCTTGAACCAAACCCCGTAAGTGGTGGGGCCAGTATAACCAGAATAGAATAATTTACAGGAAATCAATAGTAGAGTAGGTGAAGCTGAGACACAAACCATTGATTTGGAATATAAGGAAGCAAAACACACCCAATCAGAACAGCAAAAAGAAAAAAGAATAAAAAAAATATGAGGACACTGTAAGGAGCCTCTGGGACACCTTCAAGTGTACCAACATTCACTTTATGGGGGTGCCAGAAGGAGAAGAAAGAGAAAGAAATTGAAAACCAATTTTAAAGAATAATGACAGAAAACTTCCCTAACTTGGTGAAGGAAACAGAGATATAAGTCCAGGAAGCACAGAGTCCCAAATAAGATGAACCCAAAGAGGCCCACACCAAGACACATCATCATCAAAATGCAAAAGGTTCAAGACAAAGAGAGAATCTTAAAAGCATCAGGAGAAACGCAGTTAGTTACCTATAAGGGAGCTCCCATAAGACTGGCAGCTGATTTCTCAAAACAATCTTTGCAGGCAGGAAGGGAGTGGCAAGAATATTCAAAGTGATGCAAAGCAAGGGCCTACAACCAAGATTACTCTATCCTGCAAAGCTGTCATTTAGAATCAATAGATTTTATATAAAGAGTTTCCCAGACAAGGAAAAGCTAAAGGAGTTTATCACCAACAAACCAGTACTATATGAAATGTTGAAGGGTCTTCTTGAAGAAGATAAAAAATATGAACAATAAAATGGCAATAAAATGTATCTTTCAACAACTGAATCTACAAACAAAATGAACAAGCAGAAGAACACAGACTCATAGATACAGAGATATTTTTGTTGGTTATCAGGTGGGAGGAGGTTGGGGTGATGGGTGAAAAAGGAGAAAGAATTAAAAAGTACAAATTGGTTGTTAGACTGAGGAACCTCAAAGGGAAGGGAGGAGGGGTGGTAAGGGATAAACCAGAGAACTTATATGCACATATGCGTAACCGATGGACACTGACAATAGTGTGGGGAAGGCAGGAGGAGGGCAGGAGTGGGGCGAGGGGGTCAATGGGGGGAAAAGGGGAAATCTGTAACACATTCAATAATAAAGAAAAGTTTAAAAAGGAAAATAAAATAAAATAAAATAAATAACTAAAACTTTTGTGTTTCAATTTGGGAAAGTGAAAAGACAACCCACAGACGGGAGAAAATGTTTGTAAATCCCATATCTGATATGGGACTTGTACCTAGATGTATAAAGAACACTTATAACTCAATAACTAAAAATAAAACTAACCTAATGAAAAATGGGTAAAGGATCTGAAGTCAGTTCTCCTGAAAATATATACAAGTGGCAAATAAGCCCATGAAAAGATGCTATATATCTTTAGGAATCAGTAAAATGCAAACTGAAACCAAAATGAGATACCAGTTCACCCCCACTAGGATGGCTAAGTTCAAAGACACAATCACAGGTGTTAGAGAGGCTATGGTGCAGTGGAAACACACACAGCTGTAGAACATAAAATGGTGCAGCCACGCTGGGGAACAGCCTGGCAGCCACTCAAAGGGTTAAACAGTCACCACATGACCCAGCCAATCTACTCCTGGGCATATACCCAAGAAAATGGAAAACATATATCCACACAAAAACTTGTACACAAGTATTCTAGCATGTCATAATGACCAAAAACTGGAAGCAATCTGAATGTCCACCAACTGAAGAATGGATAAATAAAATGCAGCCCATGCACACAATAGAATATTATCCAATAATAAAAAGGAACAAAGTCGAATACATACTACAGCATGAATTCACAAGAAGTGGGTTTTAGCTCAAATATCATTTTTATTCTTGTAAAAAAGAAAATGAATTCTCCCAACATCTAAGGTGGAAATGAAACACATTTAAAACAGTTTATAACTAACAACATTTTCTGGTCAAGATAATTACATGGAAATTATATTAGAAGTGCTAAATACTTGACTGTAGAGTGCACACTGGCCTCAGTGTTTGGTATCCAAGCGCTTTCAGAGGGGCCTGTGCATGAGTTTGCCAGCATCCTCACACACCCAACCTGGGGGCCTTTACACAGTGGCATTTCCTACCACGACCCTCCTGTGGCCCCTACCAAAGTACACACCACATTTATAACCAATATATAGTTTTGAATCATCATTTCTGTATAAAATGTCCATTTCTGTGAAATGGGGACACAGGCAAGAGAAAGAATGGGCATCCGTGCCCCCCCATCGAGAACATCGCTACTATAAAAAAACAATTCCTTGTACAGTGCTGTTCCCAGGACACGGTGCTTTGACCATTAAAAACTACAGTAGGCACGTGTGAGGAAAAAAAGGTGGAGTACAAGTCTGGCAGGCATGGCAGGAGGAGAAGACATCGGGATAAAATGCAAGGCAGCAGAGCAAGAATGAGCAGGCTGAGGTCGGCAAAGGCGAGCAGTGTCTCCCTTGCTTCTCACCCCCGCCCAGCCCAGACTGCGTCCTCTCCTTCCCTTCGTACCTGTGTAACAGCGACCAAAGGAATTTCCCCCACAGCAGTTATAGAAGTCCCGCTGTCTCATTTACAGATGAGGAAGGGGACCAGAGGGGAAATGGGTCAAAGCCATGGTTTTAAAATTGTGTATTTTAAGTGCTCTGGACCCTCCGTGCAGAGAAAATCATCCAAATGTAAGGAGAGAAATCAGAGTTGATCTGATGGGCAGTCTTGCCTTGAGCTTGAGGGGTCCCAGGGAGGCTCTGTGAGGCGGTTTTAAAATACTGAACTGACAGATGAGCCAAGCCCTGGTCCTGCCCCAAAGCCATGGCCATAGCCCTGTGCTAACTATATTTTATTATTTTCTATCTTCTTGACACTGAAATCTGGAGCTCACTGACCATGGGGAATTGCCCCTCCCAGGGCTACCTAAACTAGCCAATCCCACACCTGTCCAACCCATACCTGCTTCATTTGTTCCTTCCTGTGAAAACTGCAACAGCCTATGCTGTCCCCTCACTCCCGCTGCCTCCTGGAAAACCTGGGGCTCCCCCCAACCCCCCTCCTCTTGGGAACTATAAGTAACAAACTTTTCAATAGCAGTTGACTCCTGGTCTGTTGGCCTCACCATACCTGAATAATAACAAAACCTACATTAAAAAATGTCTAAGATAGGTCTACTCTAGAGGCAAACATTATCCCCAGAAATCCTGTAGTTAGGATTAAGGAAATTTACACCCTGAAGGTGCCATGCCTCTGGGAGAGCCTGGCCAGCAAGCTACGTCCTAGATGACTTCCAACCGTGGGTAGAGAAAAGAACCAGGTATGAGGGAGGCCTCGGGCCTGGAGCCATGGAGAAGAATCTGACAGTCAGAAGCAAGATCCTGGCAAGAGAGCAGGAGGTAGAGGCGTCCAGGTGAGTGTGGGCTTTAGGAAGAGGGACAGAAAGAGGGCAGGGCCATGGCATGACGCCTGGGCAGCACCTGGCAGGCTCCGGGCGGGCCTCAGCCATCCAGCTCCTTCTTGACGGTGATGCGCAGGGGGCAGATGCGCATAGGCTCAGGGGGCCCGTCCCCCCGTGTGCCCCCCAGGTAGAAGTAGGGCCGCACCTCCCCAAAGCGGGCGTGGAAGGTGTAGAGGTGGCAGTGGCGCTCAGCATCGTAGAAAGACAGCTCGCCCTCCTCACATTCCAGCTCCACACGCAGGCGGCGTGGGATGGAGGGGACCGGTGGTGATGTGGCGGGCTCTGAGGTCATGCAGTGGTCGCCCTCCACCCCCTGAGTGCGGCACAAGTACCAGAAGCCAGAGCGAGTGTCCTGGTAGCAGCTGTGGGAGTGGCCCTCCGTCCCAGTGTCCTGCCGCATGCGCACCACGCCCACCCGCCAGCTGGACAGCGCCCCCAGGTCCACCTCCCAGGCGTGGGAGCCGTGGGAGAAACTGCGTGAGCCCAGCAGGCAGGGCGCCGAGGAGAAGCGCTCCGGGTTCTCCACCTGCACTCGGTAGCCGTGGTTGGTGACACTGGTGAGGTCATCAGACACGGACAGCCAGCCAGCCGCGGTGTTTGGATCAAAGCTGAAGGGTACTGAGAGCAGAGGGGGACAGTGGAGTGAGATCAGCAAACCTCACATCCTGACCTTCTGCCATGCCAGCTGATGCCCTAGGCCCCCAGACTGACAATGGTGTCCCGCCCGGCCCCAGTGTAGGGAGGGTGCTGCCCTGGGCTGAGGGGCGGTGTTATGGGTTGAAATGTGCTCCATCAAAAAAGGTATGTGGGCCCTGGCTGGTTAGGCTCCGAAGTTAGAGCGTCAGCCTGCTGACCAGAGTCTCGGTTCGATTCAGGTCAAGGGCACATACCTCGGTTTCGTTTTGTCCCTGGCCCTGGTCAGGATCGTTTGGAAGACAGCCAGTCGATGTTTCTCTCTCTCTCTCTCCCTCTTCCTCCCTCCTTCCCTCCCACTCTATCTGAAGATAAATAGAAAAATATCCTTGGGTGAGGACTCAAAAAAAAAAAAAGGTATGTTGAAGTCCTAATCCCTAGTACCTCAGAAGGTGAGATGTAATTAGACTGGGATGGTGGGGCCTTAATGCAATGACTGTTGTCCTTACAAAAAGAGACGCAACACAGTGAGGGGAGTTCACCTGACCACCACGGTGGAGATCAAAGGGCTGCAGCCCCAACCACAGGTTGCCTGCAAACACCAGAAGTCAGGAAGAAGCAAAGGACTTTCCCCTACAGAGTTTGGAGGGTTATGACCCTGCTGACACCTGATTTTGGACTTCTAGCCTCCAGCAGTGTGAAAATACATTTCTGTCATTTTAAGGCATCCAGTTTGCAGTCCCTGATTATGACAGCCACAGGAAGTCAATTCAGCCAGAGATGCTCACAGAACTCCCATGCCATCTTAGACAAGCACGGAACATTCCCTGTAAAAGCACGAGGTCTCAGTCAGTTTGGGCGGCTACAACAAAAGTGCCGTAGACTGGGTGGCTTAAACAATAGAAGTTTGTTTCTCACAGTTCTTGAGGCTAGAAGCCTGACACCAGGGGACCCCCATGGCCAGGTTCTGGTGAGAGCCCTCGTTTTGGTTTACAGATGGACACTTTCTTGTAGGGTCCTCACAAGATGGAGAGAGGAAGCCAGCTCTCTGTGTCTCTTCTTATAAGGGCACAAATCCCATCATAGGGCTCCACCCCATGACCTCATCCGACCCTAATCACCTCCCAAGGGCCCTGCCCCAAATACCATCAGATTAAAGGTTAGGACTTCAAAATATGAATTGTTTTGGGGGTGGGGAGATGACACAAACATTCAGCCCATAGCACATGACACAGTGATCATGTGGGCTGGAATCACCTCAAAAGAGGCAGTCCTGAACTGAGGAGGTCTTTCATTATATATACAATACAGTTCTGAATACAGGGAAGTCAGTTTCTTTTTCTGAAGAGGTGGCCAAGTGTCAGGACCCAAAGAGGAAGGAGTTCTGCAAGGAGGCATTGGAGCACTGGGGAAAGGAGTGGAGGGGAGCAGGGAGCAGGGGCCCTGTCTGAATGAAGCTGGAGAAGGTGAGTTCTGCTGGCTCTCCACCTCGTATGAAGTGCCTCCCCTGCCTGTACCCCGACTCACCAGATTCAACAGACGTGACCATCTTCCTCCAGACACGATACTGCAGGGAGTCCAGGTACTTGCAAACATCGATGAGCATGCCAGGCTGTACGGGCTCTGGCTCCATGGTGCAGAAGAGGCTGGAAAAGGAGAATTGGGCCTGGTGGGCAGGGCCAGAGCCATGCATCCTGGACCTAATGGGTCAGGCGGGTTTAACAAATAACAGGCCTTCTTCCCATCACAGGCCTAAATTCCCCGCCACCTTGCCCAGGACAAACCCAGACAAAGCTGTGATGGGAGATGAGCCAGGAGACGACTGGGCGGCTCATACTGTTTCAGGATTCAGTACTAGGGCACACCTTGCGCCAGCTGAGATAAATATATATATATATAGGAGGTTCTCAGACCTGATTCCTATCCTTGTGAGCAGAAATCACACTTACACATCTGCTCACAGGATGTTTAAGTCGAAAGGGACTTAAGGGTCCTCCAGTCCAATAGTATAAAGGTGTCACTGGCCTTTGCTTGAACACTGACAGGGAACTCACTACTGCTCAAAGTACCTTACCTTCTTCCATCTTTGTACAGTTCTGACTGAGACACAGTTCTTCCTTACTCATCCCTGTGTACAACCAACAACATAAACCAGTATATGTCCTGAGGCTCTCAGAGGAAGGGTTGACTGAGAAACAAGCTTAAATGTGAGGATGACCTACTGAGAACTACAAGCCGTTTGCAGGATGGCACTCTCTCTCCTCACCCAGTGAATGGTGATGCCCCACACTCAGGAAAACAACACTGCACCAGCGGGATGCCTCGAAAGAGGCTCGGTCCCCTGGCCAGTACCCACCATGCCCTCTGTATTACACCCCACTGGCTTTATTACCTGCCTGGCCCTGGAGCCACTGGAGTTTATACCCCAGGTGTTTCTGCCTGCTCTTTCCCTCCCTTCCATCAGCCTTGGCAACTTACCGGCGTTTTCGGCTCTTGTGTTTCTGAAAGAGAAAAAAATCAGACACAAACATAGACACAGAGAAAACATGTAAGTTTCTGAACTTAAAAGGAGTCATACATCCCATGTTCATGGATCAGAAGACTTAATAGCATTAAGATGGCCACATTCCCCAAAATGACCTAAAGGGTCAATGCAATTCTGTCAAAATTCCAGTTGGCTTCTTTGCGGAAACTGATAAGCTGATCCTAAAATTCATATGAAAATTCAAGGGACCCAAAATAGCCAAAACAATCTTGGAAAAAAACAAATTTGGTGGCTCACATTTCCCTATTTTAAATCTTATTAAAAGCAACAATAAACAAGTTAGTGTGGTGCTAACATAAGGACAGGCATATAGGCCAGTGGACATTGAAAGTCTGAAAATAAACCCTGATATTTATGGGCAATTGGTTATCTACAAGGGTGCCAAGACCGTTCAATGGGAAAAGAATGGTCTACAACAAATGGTGCTGAGACAACTGGATATCCACATGCAAAAGAATGAAGTTGGATTCCCACCCTGCACCAAATACAAAAATTAACTCAAGTGGGTCAAAGAATTAAATGTAGAGATAAAACTCATGACCTTAGATTAGGCTATGCTTTCTTAGATATGGCACCAAAAGCGCACACAAGCAGCAAAAGAAAATACAGATAAGCAGCACTTCATCAAAGTGAAAAATGCTTATGCTTCAACGGATGTTATCAAGAAAGTGAAAATAACTCTCAGAATAGAAGAAAATATTTAGAAATCATGTAGCTGGTAAAGGTCTAGTATCCATAATATATAAAAAATCTTACAATTCAACAACAAAAAATAATCCAATTTAAAATTTAGGCTAAAGGACTTGAACATATATTTCTCCAAAGACACACAAATGGCCAACAACTACATGAAAAGATGCTTAACATCACTAGCCACCAGGGAAATGCAAATCAAAACCATGAGATACCACTTCACACCCATTATGATGGTTAAAATAAAAAAAGACAGATACGTGCTGGCGAGGATGAGGAAAACTGCAGTCCTCATATACTGCCAGTGGGATGTAAAATGGTTCAATCTCTTGGAAAACAGCCTGGCAACTCCTCAGGGAACTCTGTTCTGATTAAAATCTTTTTGGCCTCTTGACCCAAGCAGAGGATGTGGTCTGTAAGCTCCTCCAGCCCAGGAAGACTGGGTTGCCCAGGGCTGCTGGTCTCAGGATCCCCACTGGTTCTTAAACATCTGGTCCCTGTCGCTGAATGAGATGATGAGCTCCTCACCAGGAGAAAAGATACATCGTCTTCCTTCATCTCCATCTGCAGCCGCTCGATCTCATGGGCCAGAGCCTCTGTGTCTTTCTTGAGCTGCTTCATCTTCTCCTCTGCCAGAAGCTGCTTCTGCCTCGTCTCCTCAGCCATGGCATCCAGGATTGCCTGCTCCTCCACTCTTAAGAACTCTCGAAGCTTTTCAAACTCCTGCCGGATTCGCCTTTCTAGCCAGGCAGTCTCCACCTACAGCAGAGAGTGGGAAGGAGGCACAGAGCATTAGATGTGGAGGGAATCTCAGCTGTCACCTACCCTAGTGGCTCTCAGACTTTTAGTGAAGGAACTCTACTTTCAAAAGAAACCATATATAGAACGCAAATGGATAAAATATAGATGCAGTTTTCTTAGCACAAATTTACATTTAAAATAAGTCAAACAGCACAATGTGACTGTTTTGATTAATTTTTTAAAAGTTGAAATCACTGCTTATACATGACAACTGTAATCCTGTAACTTCAAACATACAATATTCTGTATCTTGTTTAAGTTGCACAATAGCACAAGAAATCCTGAATTACAGAAAAGAATCAATGCAAATAGCAACTACTTAAAAAAAAGTTACCTGCCTTTCAATCTTAGGGCTTCAAATTTATTCAATCAAGAGGCTTATCAAAAAAGTATTAATAGAAAGTATTTATTTTAAAATGGAATAATTGCCCTGGCCGGTTTGGCTCAGCGGTTAGAGCATCGGCCTGCGGTCCTGAGAGACCCGGGTTCGGTTCCGCTAAGGGCGCGTACCTTGGTTGCAGTTTGTCCCCGGCCCTGGTCGGTTGTGCGGGTGGCAGCCACTCGATGTGTTCCTTTCACATCGGTGTTTCTCTCTCTCTCTCTGTTCCTCTCTCTCCCTCCCACTCTACCTGAACAAAAAATGGAAAAAGTGTCCTCTGGTGAGGATAAAAAAAATAAAAATAAAAAAAATAAAATGGAATAATTGCCCTGGCCAGGCAGCTCATTAGAGCATCAGGTAAAGCATTATTCCGATATGCCAAAGTTGTAGGTTCGATCCCCAGTCAGGAATCAACCAATGAATACATAAATAAGTAGAACAACAAATTGATGTTTCTCTGTCTCTCAAATCAATAAACAAATAAACAAAACTAAACAAAAGCTGTATTCATTAATGATATGCATACTCTTAATCATAACCGCAAAAAGCTTCTAAAAAGTTGAAACCCCAATGTACTCAAAGAAAAAGCAGAAAAATATTTCTCATCTTGCAGTGAGAAAGATCTTTATTACTAGAATATAAAACTGAGAAGCCTCAAAGAAAGAATGAAGTAACTAAATACATATAAAAATACAAAGTTTCAAATGGTAAAAAACCACTAATAAAGGTAAATACATATTTACTGAAATATACAAATTATATATTTCATGATGACTAGACTATTGGAAAAACACCTCAAAATGTATGCTCTAGCAATGACAGGTTAGTAATCTATATCTTTGGATTACAAATTCAATATATGTTTATGGCTCTGACAATATGATGATAAAGTGATTCACTGAAAAAGTAAAAATGACAAAAAAAAATAGTGAAAATGACTCATTGAAAAAGAAATGACAAACTAGGAAAAATATTTCCAACATACATATATATATGAACATATATAAGAACATATTATTCTTAATATACAAAATGCTTTTATGAATCCACAAGGAGAAAAGATAAATAATTCATGAAAAAATGACTGGATTGACATTCACAGAAGAAACGCAAATGGCTATTAGACTTTTGAAAGGATGTACAAACTTACTAATAATCAGAGAAATGCAAATGAGAAGAGATGGCACTGTTAAAATATCAAGCTGAAAGGACTGATAATGTATAGTAGGAGGGAGAGTGAAATCTGGGATGATTCTTATCCCACAGGAGGATAAAAAACAGAGCAGGCAGGAAAAACCAGTCAGAAGACTTAGCTCATTTAAGGGACAGAAAGAAGGCTGGAACTGAGAGCACAGCCCAGCCTGGGAGAAGATGAAGCTGAGGGGCAAGAAGGGGTTGGAAGAAGCCCTCAGAGGCTATGGTGAAGAGTCTGGATTGTATTGCGTGTGTCATGGAAGCCACTAGACAGTTATAAGCAGAGGAGCGACACAATCGATGCATTTCTCTAAAAAAGCAGTCTACTCTGCAGAGTAGACTTGTCACGGGGCCCAGGTAGGAGGGCAGGTGAGAAAAGATGGTGACCTGGACTGGGATGGTGGCAATGGATATGGAGTGTAGGATGGACGTGATGTATTTTGGAGAAAGAGGGGATGAGACTGTTGATGGAGTAGACATGGAGAGTGCATGGGAAAAAGGAATAACTAATGAGCCCAGGACATCACTGGCTTGAGCACTCAAGGTAGGCGGAGAAGTGTGGCATATTCTTAAGTTGATTTGAAAACACAGAGCAGATAGCACAGGTGGCTTTGTAAGCTGTTCCCGTGGCTGCTGGCATGGCCATGACCAGGAATTGAAAGAGGCCCTGGCAGCATAGTGTCTGAGAGCATGATTGTGCTAGACCATCAAGGTTGGGGAAGGCTGACTCTGTAGGTCAACAGCCATGGCCAGGGCCAACCCACCCTCACCTATCCCCCAGATGGCCCTAGGTGGCCCCAGTCTCCCATGCAGCCCGACCACTCACTTACCTGATTGTGCTTGGCGATGGCCTCGTAGGAGCGCCGCATGGCCCAGAAGGCCTTGGCTTTCTCCCGCAGTGAGTGCTCCATGTTCCTGCACTTGGCCTAATGGGAAGAATGAGAGGGAGGCAAAAAGGCAGGTTGGAAGTGGGGGCCAGACAGGCAGAATGACACATTTACAACTGGAGTTCCACTTCCACCAGGGTACAACTCAACCACAATTACTGAACCCAGTCTGTCCACTCACTGCAGGAAACAGCAGAAGGTCCTGACCTAGAACTTGACATTTACAGCGTAAAGGGCCCTCAGATATCCTCCAATCTAGACAGAGAGACAGGGGTGAGGTCAAAGGGCCTATTCCCTCTCAAGTTGGTCACAGCACAGCACAGAGGGGATGCATCCTGCTCAGGGCTAAAGCTGGTCCAGGCTTGGCCGTGAATCCTGAGCTGCATGTATAACTTGTAAAGACAATGTGCCCACAGGCTCCCTTTTCAACTTTCTAAACTGGACTGGCCTGCAGTCACTAACCAACAGGTCTGATTACAGGGTTCATCCAGTTATTCCCATGGGTCTTTATCCCAACTACATGTCTCCCCACATCCTGATCTCATCCCAATATTCTAATCATGTTTGGAACATGTGAAATATTTTAATCAGCAGATTCAAAGATCTTTTTGTTTAATAGTTTTTGTTTTTTAAAACTTAACCACTGCTCTAATCTCTTTGGACTCCTTGAAGAACTGGGACTAGTTTTAGGTTGAATTTCTACCTTTTGTATACAACGCTTAACATTTGCTGTCTTTATCTTTTTCACTCTATGTTCTAAGAAAGCTTTTCAAGTTTTTTCCTTTGGAAAAATAAAAAAAAATAAAAATTCTAATAACATTAATTATAAATGACTACCAATTATTGAGCATTTACTACTTGCCAGGGACTGTGCTAATTACTTTACAAATTATGACACTTAATCATCACATTATCCCTATTAGATAAGTAATACCACTAGCTCCGTTTTACAGATGAAAACTGAAGCACAGAAGGGAGGACTAGCCCTAGGGCACACAGCTAATATGTGGCAGAATAAGAACATGAACCTAGACAGTAGTGGTAGGCAGCCTCTAAGGTGGACCCTAGTGATCCCTCATTCCTGTAAAATTAAGTTTGTTGTTTTAAGCTGTCAAATTTGGGGGTGATTTATTATGTACCAACAGATAAGAGATTTGTCCTTGAAAGCTTCATCCCCACCTGGACCTCATTTGGACGAGATTCTGGAATCTGAGCTGATACTATAATGAGATGAGACGTATGGGGATCTTAAGAGGGGGTAAGTGTATTCTGCATATGGAAGGGATATGAATCATTGGGGGCCAGAGGACAGAATGAAGGAGGCAGTCAATAAAATGACCCCAATGAACCCCACCTCCTGGTATTCATGCCCTAATGGAATCCCCTCCCCTGTGGACTGCGCCTAGTGACTTGCTTCTAACCAAATACAGCAGAAGTGATGAGACGTCCCTTCTGAGATGAGGTGATAAAAAGCCTGTGTACACCCTTTCTTGTCCTCTCTTGCTTGATGTCGCCTATGAAGCAGCCCATGGGGCAAGGAACTGAGGTGGCTTCCAACCAACAGTCCATGAGGATCTGAATCCTGGAGCAACCACCCCAGCGAGCCTGAATGGGGATCTTGGCCTACTTGAGCTTTTAGCTGAGATGGTAGCCCTGGCGACACCTTGAGAGCAGCATCATGAGACACAGAGGCAGAGGCACTCAGCTAAGCCATGCCCGCATTCCTGACTCACAGAAACCACGAGATAACAGATATTATTTGTTTAAAGCCACTGTGTTTTGTGGTAATTTGTTACATGGCAACAGATAACTACTAACCCATCTGTCCTACTCCACAGCCCATTCTCTTAACTGCTATGCTACAGACCGCAAAATAATGACTGATTTCATTTTCTGCAGGTTTTGTGTTCTTTTGTACCCATTCTGAACATTTTTGTATTTTTTGTAGTATATCACCTCTAAGGTGTGTCTCCTCAATAGCAAAATAATATTAGTATGAGCATCCCACACGACCACTTAAATATCATCCTAATGTTTTATTTTGTGGGACAAGATATTCTGTTACAAAATCATGTAATAAAATCCAAGAGGACAATTTCAAGATCTGCCAAATAATTATAAACGATAGAAGTGAAGCAACTGCTTCCTACCCAGTGTTGTGCTGGTCCCCAAATGACACAGCTGACCCTCTGACCTTCAACCTTGACAGTTAGGGAGTTATGGGACAATGAAGATAGATAAGAGGGGGTGACAGTCCCCTGTCCTTCCCAAACTTTACAATCACTTGGAGAACTCTGGTTTAATTCAACTGGTGAGATCAACCAAAGAGTGTATTATTACTAGCAAGCAGTTATTATTGAGCATGTTACACTCCTACAAGGCAGGCTCTGTATTCCTATCATGCAGAACAGATAATAAGGCCCAGGGGAATTAAGTACTTGTCAAAATTACACAGACAGTAGCTGGACCAGGAATTGTACTCTGAAATGTTCAACACCAAGGACCACATTCTTGTTTTTTTTTTTTATCCTTACCCAAGGATGTTTTTTTGCATTTATCTTCACATAAAGCGGGAGGGAGAGAGGGAGGAAGAGAGAGAGAGAAGCATTGACGTGAGAGAGACACATCGAGTGGTTGCCACCTGCACAACCCCAACCTGGGCCGGGGACAAACTGCAACCGAGGTACATGCCCTTAATGGGAACGGAACCTGGGACTCTAGTCCGCCGGCTGAAGCTCTAACTGCTGAGTCAAACCAGCCAGGGCTCTTTATAAAAAAAAAATGTTTTTTCCTTTATTGATTTTAGAGAGAGAGGGAGAGAGAGATAGAACCATCAAGAACATCGATCAGCCGCCTCCTGCATGCCCCCTACTGGGGATCCGGCCCACAACCTGAGCATGTGTCCTGACTGGGAATCAAACTGGCGACCTCTTGGTGCATGGTCTACGCTCAACCACTGAGCCATACTGGCCGGACAAGACCACATTCTTTTTTTTTTTTTATCCTCACCCGAGGACATTTTTCCATTTTTTGTACAGATAGAGTGGGAGGGAGAGAGAGGAAGAGAGAGAGAGAGAAACATCGACGTGAAAGGGACACATCGAGTGGCTGCCACCCGCACGACCAACCAGGGCCGGGGACAAACTGCAACCGAGGTACATGCCCTTAGCGGGAACCGAACCCAGGTCTCTCCAGACCGCAGGCTGATGCTCTAACCGCTGAGCCAAACCGGCCAGGGCAAGACCACATTCTTAACCACAATACCACACACCCCATTTCAGTGTTGTTTCCCTCTTTTCAAACCTACAGCTTTCATTTGTAATTCCTGACTTACTTTATTAGCTAGAATCTCCAGTACAAAATAAAATAGAATTGGTCATAATGGGCATTCCTGTCTTTTTCTTGATCTCAATAAGAAAGCTTTCAATGTTTCCCCATTACATATGGTATTTGCTATATACATTTTGTTACTTTTTTTTTTCCTTCATTGATTTTAGAGAGAGAGGAAGGGAGAGGGAGAGAGAAAAATTGACGGGAAAGAACATTGATTGGTCACCTCTTGCATGTCCCCACTGGGGATTTGGCCCACAACCTGGGCACGTGCCCTGACTGGGAATTGAACCGGTGACCTCTTGGTGCATGGGTCGATGCTCAACCACTGAGCCACACTGGCCAGGCTTGTTAGATACTCTTAATCAAGATTAAGGATATTCCTTCCATTCCTAGTTCGCTGTTTTCTTTTAATCCTAAAGGATATTGAATTTTATCAAATAGATTTTTATCTATTGACATAGCATATTTAACTGGCACAGAATTGGATTTTGGTTTCCTATCCAGTCTGACAACTTTTGTCACTGAACTTGAATATGTAACGCAATTACTGATATATCTGTGTTTAAACTTATATTCTTGTTCTGTGCTATTTGTCCTGCTTATTTAACACTTCTTTTTCTGCCTCCTTTTGTCTTTTAAAAAAAATTTACTATGCATTTTTATTCCACTTTTTTCCCTTCTCTGCATTTAATGGTTAACCTAGAAAATACATTAAAAAGTATGAATGCAAATAAATCTAAAAAATATCCTTCATGTTTGCTTTTGATATTCTAATTTTAATATACTTGTATCACAACTGGACCCACACTTCAGGGACCTAATTATCTGCACATGGCCCAAGGAGTGCCTGAACAAGCAGAGACTGCAGTCACTAGTGAGGATTCTGGTGAGGAGCCCATCTGGACTAATATAGTGATCACTGCCCTGGGTGGAACTCAGTGGCCCATGACCACCTGGAATGCCTCCCAGGCCCCAAGCCCCAAAGAGCAAATGAGCTGATTATGGCATCAAATTCTAATATTCAAGATTAGTTATAAACACACACAAAATATGAAGTTTTTATTTACACTACAGGATTCAGAATGTTTAAAAAGCCTACATGAATTTTTTAGAAATTACAATTTGATTCCTTACGCAGCAAATTTCAATAGCATATTTAATACCCTAAGGATTTTACAAAGTTGTTTAATCCAAAATACCTGTTAACTCAGGTACTATGTGGTGTAACAGAAAGTGGGAATGGTGCGGGTACAGGTAAGAGAAAGGATAACTAGGACTTCCCAAGATCATCACAGGACCCTAGCAAGTACTTAGCAAAGAGCTAGGGTCATGTCTGAAGCCAGGGGTGTCAGGCCCAAGCCAAGTTTTCTGTCCTCTGAGGTCCTATGTATGCTGTTGCTTCTGACTTACCCCTACCTGCTTCACCCAGCTATCACAACAAGGCCTTGAAAATTCAACTCAGGCCTCTTCATTTCCTCCAGGAAGTCAGCTTGACCTCCCAGTAGAGTTCAGGTATATCTCCATGGGCTCTCACAGCTCCCCACTACACTTCCATCATCCCACTCATTACCCTGGATAATCGCCTCACTCTCCTGGAAAGGCTGCAGGCTTCCTGGGGAACAAGTCCTAACACCCACGTCCTCTCACTTGGCACAGTGGTGCTCAATACACCTTTGCAGAAGGAGTTAAGGCCTGCTCTGCAGGGATAAAGGCTGTTTTGCCCACTGCATATCCCCAGGTCTTAGCACAAAGTAGATGCTCAACTACTTGCCCAGTTGAAGAGTAAGTGAACACCCACGTTCTCTCTACTACACCATATCCCCTACTGGACTGGAAGTTAGGAAAACAGATCTGCATCCTTGTTTTTGTCACTAACCACTGGAACAAACTTCTGTGTGGCTCAAACTTCCTCAGGTTCAAGATGAAGGCATGAAAATTTCTATGGTCTCTCAAATTTCCTCATGAAAATGATGAGTGTGGTTTCCTCTGCTGATGCTTACCGGTCCATCACTAGGACTTCCTAACATCTGTCTCTGGTTCATGTCTTTTTCCTATTTCAAATGTTTGATGTCAGGCAGACTGATGTAGTAGCTAGGAGATCTGGCCACTCAGGTTCAAATCCCAGCTCCTCTACTTATTAGTGAGTGATCTTGAACAAGTTCCTTAACTTCTCTGCATCTCAGGGATGAGGATACTGCCTGGCTCATAGTGTTGTAACGTGTCAGCGAGATAATCAGAGACGCACAGCTGAATTGTAAAAGAGAGGAGTGCTTTATTCACTGGCAGGCTGTGGGGGGCATAGTTTCCCCAAATTGACAGCCCCAATTGTTCTTGCTCTTCTGCTTTTAAAGACAGAAGCCAGTTACATCCCAGGAAAGTTTCAGTTCTTCAAACAGAGAAATATTGGCTGGTGAAGTCATTTCTTGGAACAAGGTAAAGGGATTTTACAGCCACCCAGGAACAAAAAAGCACTCCCAACAAAACCCTGTAATTAATATTTCAACTAGACTGTATTGACTTTAATTTTGTTTGTACTTAATCTGTAAACTTCTTTTGGTTTTATTACCTATATGTAATGTAAGTAAGAGAAATTTACACCAGTTTTGTGCTTGTACGTAAGGAATATGATCATTTAAGACATGCTGTTGAAATACATATTTTTTTAAGAACATGTACAAGCAGTAGAGGATTTCCTAAGGTCTCTCAAGATCCAACATACTTTAAAGCTCTGGTTTATTTTTATTAAAAAAAATTTATTTTCTTTATTGATTTTAGAGAGAGAGGAAGGGAGGAGAGATAGAAGCATTGATGAGAGAGAACATTGATTGGCCACCTCCTGCATGCCCCCCACTGAGGATTGGGCCCACAACCTGGGCAGGTGTCCTGACCAGGATCGAACCTGCGACCTCTTGGTGCATGGGTTGGTGCTCAGCCAGTGAGCCACACTGGCCGGGCTAAAGCTCTGGTTTAAACACTTTGTCATATTTTGAAAGCTCATCAGTCCTTCCCTTCGTGCTCCATGGGACTTAGGACAAAATCTCAGATCTTTTAACATGCCCTCCAGCGCCCTACAGGATGCCCATTCCTTGCCCAGCATGTCTCTGGTTTGCTGTGAAATCACTTCCTCAGAAATTCCTCCCCATGCCCATCAGACAAGAGCAGGCCTCCTTGTAACAACAGCCCATCACATCCTGTACTGTCCTGCACAGGAATGTCACAGTCTGAAACCATGTGATTGTCAGTGTGATTATCATTCAGCCATGCCTTTGGACTCCAAGAAGGCAGGGGCTAGGACCGCATGCCCTGTCCCCTAGTGGACATACCATGCCTGGTACATAGTAGGTACTCAATCATCCCACTGACAGAGGTCCTTGTCCCCTTAAGCCTCTAAGTCCCCCCACACACAGTCAGCTGCCCTCACAGCTCCTGGAACAGAGGACCAGCAGGGAAAGTTTTACCCTTGGACCAGAGAAGCTTCTCTCAAAGTCCATGACCAGAGTAAGGGCAGAACAAGGCCCAGGCGAACTCCATAGTACCTGCTCTGTGACTTTGGACAGGTTACTTAACTTGTCTGAGGCTCAGTGTCACTGTCCGTAAAATGAGAACAGTACCTACCTGTAATAAGCTGAAGAATGGTCCCCCCAGAGATGTCCATGTTCTAATCCCCCAACCTGTGAGCATATTGCCTTATATGGCAAAAAAACCTTTGTAGATGTGATTCAATTACAGATTTTAAGATGGGGTGACTGACTATCCTGGATTGTCTGGCTGGGCCCCATGTAATCACAAGGGTTCTTATAAGATGGAGGTAGTAGAGTTAGTCAGAAAGATAGTGGGACAAGAATCAGAAGCTGGAACGATGTGCTTTAACAATGGAGGAGGGGGCCTCTAAAAAGCTGGACGAGGCAGGGAAATAAATCCTCTCCTAGCCTCCAAAAGGCATGTAGCCCTGCCAGCACCTCGACTTTAGCACTTCTGACCTCCAAACCTGTAAGATAATAAATCTGTGCTGTGTTAAACACGTTTGTGGCAATTTACTACAACAGCAACAGCAAACTAATATACAACCTTATAGGGTTTTTGTGAGGATTAAATTTGTTGACAGGTAAACACTTAAGAGTACCTGGCACATAGTAAGTGCTCAAAAAATGTTGGCTGGTATGATGCTTATTTTTGCTGAATTCTTCATATGGGTGCCAAAGGTGATCTTTCTGAAGCACACATCTCATCACAAAATTCCTAATGTAAAAGCTTTCAGGGTGCCCCATAGCACACAATGGAAACCCCCTCAGTGCTAGACCTCTCCAGCCTTCCCATACTGCTCCCTGACAACCTCCATCCAATCGTCCAGAACCACAATTTGTCTCTTTACTAACAGCATCATTCCTCTGCTTAAAACCCTCAGACTGCTTCCTATAGTCTTTAGGATAAAGGCCAAGGTTCAAGGCCTCCTGGCTCCTTCTGCAACTCCATCATCATTCTAATTACTCTGAAAGGCTCTCGGTGCCTGGAAAGGGAGGCCTTCCTGCTTCGGGACCCATACACATTGCTACTGCCCCAGCCTGAAATACCCTCCCACACCCTATTCACCTGGCTAACACTTCCTCATTCTTCTGGTCTCTGCTTGAAGTTCCTGGAAGGTATATATTATTGCTTATATCATGTCCAGTATTGTCCCCAGGGTCTAGCAATACAAGGTAACTGCTGAATAAATAGAAAGTTGACATTAGATCATATATACTCCCTGGCACCTGGCTCACTGATCTTGAATCCTGGCTTAGTCCAGACCTGGGGTTTTACCTTGGCGCCCTTGGCCTTGACCCCTGACCCTCTTGAGCTGTATCTCTGCCAGCCCCCTAGTGATTACTCATGACTTGATCCACGGAGCCCCCTACCTCCAAACCAGTCCCTACATTGTTCCGCACTTACTTTACCTGTCCCAAATGAGGACCTGACACCTGTCAGTGGAAATGGAAAAAGCATTATCGTTAAATAAGATGGCAGCAAGCTATATTAGTGTTTAAACATGCATACTGACACATTCCCCTTCACTTGAACTTTGTCAAAATGTGTATGAGTCCTGGCCGGTTTGGTTCAGGGGTTAGAGCGTCGGCCTGCGGACCAGAGAATCCAGGGTTCGGTTCCTGTTAAGGACACATACCTCCGTTGCAGCTTGTCCCTGCCCAGTTGGGGTCGTGTGGGTGGCAACCACTTGATGTGTCTCTCTCACACTGATGTTTCTCTCTCTCTTCCTCCTTCTCTCCCCCTCGGTCTATCTGAAGATAAATGCAAAAATGTCCTCAGGTGAGGATAAAAAAAAAAATGTGTATGAAACTTTAATCAACTTATGATATTTCTTAAGAAAGGCATTAAAGCAAACAAACTAATTGAAACAATGTCTGTAGGACAGGCATGGGGGGGTGGTTTTTGCAGCACCTCCTTTTCAATACACTCAGCATCCTACCACCTAACTGCTGTTCTCCGAACTGGGTCTAACCCAGGTGTTATAGGTGATGAAATAAATTAGTGTTTCACATCCTGTGCAATTTTTAAAATAAAACAACAAAACTACAACATAAAACAGCAGAGTACAATCAACATTTTCACAGAACTTTTGTTTCAAATGATACATACATGAGTGTTCTGGGTCACAATGGAGAAAATATTTCTCACTATGGGTTAAGGTAAAAAAATTTGAAAACTCCTGAGTTGGCTAATTCTTATTTTCTGATCATTTTTCTTTCCTACGCCAAAATATTTCTCATGTTAGTTTTGCCCTGTAAGTTGCTCCTTTATTTATAGCCACTGGCACTCTAAGCATTGGGATGCTGAGAAAGTGATCCAGAATAAGCAAGCTGGCTAGGGCCAAAGGCCTCCTCACAGCTACACAACAGATGGACCAGCTGGGGAAGCAGGTGACCAATGTTGGGGATCTCAAGGCCCCATAAATGGCCAGGCCTTGGGCTCCTGCACCTCTAACCTGAAAGTGCCGAGCTCCACGTTTCCTGAGCTTTACCCACACCTGTGCTTCTCAGAGAAGCATGGGCCACACCCCGCTGGCAGAAAGTGTGCCCGGCCTAAGAAGTGGGTGGGGCTGTCCTGAGAACATCACGTAACCCCAGTGTTCACATTTCCTGTTTACCTCTCCCACCTCAGACCCCCTGGGCCCGCTTTGAAGGGGGCGGGGCAAGGCAGCCTCTACAGGTTATGGAGTCACCCAGGAGTGGATCCTGAGGCGACACCAGTAAGCCGGCTGCAGGAAGAGGGGGCAGGAGCAGCGGAGTCAGGAATGCTGGGTTCTAGTCCGGACTCGGCCACCACGTGTGCACTGGGCCACCTCCCTCACACAGCCGCACTTACCCGAAAGTCGTGGGCAGTGTCCTTCACTGCCTGCACGCGGTGTCCCTGGTGCCGGGGGTCGGCCTGGCACGAGTAGCACAGTAGTTCCTTGTCATCGAGGCAGAACAGGTTGAACTGGTTGCGGTGCAGGCGGCAGAGGCGGGGAGAGCGGTGGCCTGTCCAGCGCGCGCCCTCGGCCTCCTCACGCAGCAGCTTCTCCACCAAGTTGTTGAGGGTGTGGTTGGTGCGCAAGTCGGCGGGGGCCACGCGGTCCTTGCACACTGGGCAGGTGGGCGCTGCCTGCACCTCCCAGCAGTGGGTCACGCACTCGCGGCAGAAGTTGTGGCCGCAGGGCAGAGTCACGGCATCCCTGAAGGGGTCGTAGCAGACCGCGCAGAGCAGCTCCTCCTTGAAGGAGCGAGAAAGCCCGGGAGACAGCGGGGGGTCCTGCTCCATGGCACCCACCGCCTGGTCCGGTGCCCGCAACTTCCGGTGCTTCGCGGCTCCTAGGTGAGCCGGGCCCAGTCCCTTTCCCTCTAGCGCTGAACGACAGCGGCGCCGGCCAATCGTGCGGGGCATGCTCAGAGGCTCCGCCCCACTTCCGGTCTGGGCGACAAACCAAGGAAGAGAGGGAAGGGGAGGGGAGAAGAAGGGAAGGGAGGGGGAGGGGGATGGGCGGGGCGGGGCGGGGCCGTTCTGCTCCAAAGTTCCTGCCAGTGTCCGCGGGCTCTCTGGGTTTAGAGAGGAAGTAACTCCCGGTCGGTGCTGTAGGGCTTCCGTGTCACTGGAAACCTACTTCCCATTTTAAATGGAAAGTGAAATCTATAAGCCCCTTCCTTAATCAATCCCTGAAATACCAGGCCCGCGAGGTCGGAAAAGCCAGAGCACCCCACTTCCAGGATCCCACGTACAGTCTGGCTCTTTACAGCGTGGTCGGTGTTTTCACCACTTAGGATTAGTGCCCTTTCAAAGATCTGTGCCCACTCTTGCACTAATTGTTTACTTAATTTTGGCCAGCCTTATTATCCCCCGGGGTGAGGAGGAAACGGGTGAGGGAAGACCTGATTTTTGTTCCCTAAATGGGCAAGTCACAATCTTTCAAAATCTATTTCCTCGTGCGTAAAGTGACGCTTGTATCTCTTCTCTCCTCGAGATGTGAGAATTAAAGTGAAGTAAGTATGGAAAGTTTACATGATATTAGGCAGGTACACATTAAAACAAGAGTAGAATCCAGCCTAGTGTACCAGGCCTGGATCTCTCCAACTCCCCCTTCTTGCCTCAGTTTGATCACTTTACAAGAGCTCTCAGCGCAGTCGGTTAGCCTGCGGTACTTATACTGCCTTCAGATGCAGGATTCCTTTCCCCTGACACACTTCCATTCTGGTTTCTGTTGGAAGACAGTTTCCACATGTCTTGTTTCTGTATGGAGCAGAGGCACTGGCTGCCTTTTCAGATTGTCTTTCCAAGGATGTTTCCATGGTGAGCAGCCTTGGAAGGCAGAAATAGTGTCTCCTTCCAGAAAAAAGACTCTCTATTATGAAATATTCGGGTTCCTTCAGCTTTAGGTCTTTAAACTCTCCTGTAATGCAACATCCTGTGGCTTTCATCACATGGGCTTGTGGGAATTAAGGCTCAAGAAACGGGGCCCAGCTGAGGATTATCTGAACACTGCTATCGCTGTTAGTAATGACTGTCTTTTGTCATCTACCAGTATTCATGAAACTATCAGGCTAACTTGTTAATTTGCAAATAGACTAAAATCTCTCACCCTTTATAGTTCTTGACAATTTCCTTCCAAACTTTTCCTCTGAATAATCCTTTCCCCACAATGCCAACAGGATGAATACCACTAATTCTTATTGCCTTCTGCAGTGTTTCTTATACATGATTTATGGTCCTCCTACCCCGGGGAGTTTTCTAAAAGCAGAGATTCCTGGGCCCACTTCAATCTACTTGCCTTTCTGGGAGATGAGCCCAGGAGTTTGAATTTTTATGTGCTCTCTAGGTGATTCTTGGGCACACCAAAGTTTGAGACTCATATTTCTAGATCAGGGGTGGGGAACCTTTTTTCTGTCAGGGACTGTTTGGATATTGATAATATTCATGGGCCATACAAAATTATCAACTTAAAAATTAGCCTGCTATATTTGGTCAAACATTTAATTAACTCACCCTTAATGTGATGGCTAGAACTGCTTCTCTTTGGTGAGGGGTATGATGTTAGCTGGTATTGATGATGTTGCTACCTGCAACTGCTTTTCCAGGTTTGCAACGGTAAGTTTTGAAAAAAACTACTTGCAGCAGTAAGTTGTTCTGAACACAAATGCATATTTCAATGCATGTCTCCTCAAAGTAGGAAATTCATCATTGCTTATGTAACATTTATAGAACTCAAGCAGTGGGAAGTTGTTGTACCTAGCTTTCAGCTCATCATTGCTTTGTAGCTGAATGATTTCATGTTGTAGGTTATCAGGCACATCAGCTGGTTCCACATTGAATGGTGTAGCAAAGATGTTCAATTTCATTTGTTTACTTTTCATGTTCTTTTTTTAAAAAAAAATATTTATTGTTGGATGTAAAATGTATTACAGATGTTCCACATTTTTCCCCCATTGATCCCCTCCTTCCCACCCCCGCCCCCCTCCCACCTTTTCCCACACTATTGTCTGTGTCCATTGGTTATGCATATAAGTTCTTTGGTTTATTTCTTCCCACCCCCCCAACCCCTTTCCCTTTGAGGTTTGTCAGTCTAGCAATTAATTTGTGCTTCTTAATCCCTTCACCTTTTTCACCCTTCCCCCAACCCCCCTTCCAACTGGCAACCAACAAAATGTTCTCTGTATCTATGAGAATGTTTCTGTTCTACCTGTTCATTTTGTTTATAGATTCCATTGTTGATAGATATGTATTCATTGCCATTTTGTTTGTTCATATATTTTATCTTTTTCTTCAAAAAGACCCTTCATCATTTCATATAATAATGGTTTGGTAGTAATGAAGTCCTTTAACTTTTTCTTGTCTGGGAAAGTTTTTATATGTCCATCGATTCTAAATGACAGCTTTGCAGGATAGAGTAATTTTGGTTGTAGGCTCTTGGTTTTCATCACTCTGAATATTTCTTGCCACTCCCTTCTGGCCTGCAAAGTTTCTTTTGAGAAATCAGCTGACAGCCTAATGGGAACTCCCTTGTAGGTAACTAGCTGCCTTTCTCTTGCTGCTTTTAAGATTCTCTCTTTGTCTTGAACCTTTTGCATTTTGATGATGATGTGTCTTGGTGTGGGCCTCTTGGGGTTCATCTTGTTTGGGACTCTCTGTGCTTCCTGGACTTGTATGTCTGTTTCCTTCACCAAGTTAGGAAAGTTTTCTGCCATTATCGTTTCAAACAGGTTTTCGATTTCTTGTTCTGGCTCTTCTCCTTCTGGCACCCCCAAGATGCGAATGTTGGCACGCTTGAAGTTGTCCCAGAGGCTCCTTACACTATCCTCATTTTTTTGGATTCTTTTTTCTTTTTGCTGTTCTGATTGGGCATTTTTTGCTTCCTTATATTCCAAATCGATGGTTTGCTCCTTGGATTTACATACTCTATTATTGAAGCTGTGTAAATTATTCTTTATTTCAGTTAATGCCTCCTTCAATTCTAACTGTGTATCCATGATTTCTAACTGGTCCTTTTTTATGCTCTTGAGGCCCTCCCTAAGTTCACTGAGGTTCTTACTAAGTTCATTGAGCCTCCTTATAAACAGTATTTTGAACTCAGCATCTGTTAGGTTGCTTATCTCCATTTCGCTTAGTTCTTTTCTTGGGGTTTTGTTCTGTTCTTTCATTTGGGACCTGTTTCTTTGTCTCCTCATTTTGGCTGCCTCCCTGTGTTTGTTTCAGTGTATTACTTAATGAGAGGTATGGGGCTAGCTGAGACCAGATGCTGCTCGTTTGAAAGAATTTAGGAAAATCCTGTAGCAGGATCCAAGACCGGCCAATCCTATGGTTAAACAAGTGGCAACAGCTTGGGTGGGCTTGAAAGTTGGGTGGGGTGTGGCGGGGCCTCAAGGAGTCAGCAGGGCGGGGCTACCAGTGTGAGCCAGGTTGCTGGAGTCCCGGATGGTGGCTGTCTGCCGCCCCCCGGAAGGGCTCACCAAAGGAACAAAGGCCTCTTACAGCACGTTTGTCCCCAAGAAAGCCCCCTCTCCAGCCCTCGCTCCAGTGCCAAACAGCTCAGTTCTTCTCTGTATGTCTCTGGTGCCCCTCGAGCTGCCTCCCCTCCAAGCTTAGAGGGAGAGAGTCCGATAAGTCCGTGCGCGGGCCCTTTAAGGAGCTGCCTGGGGCTCCAGCCGCTTCAGCCTCCCTGAGCCTCAGTTCCTGCTGGTTTTTCCAGCCAGAAGTTATGGGGATTCTCTTCCTGGCACTGGAACCCTGAGCGGGGCACCTGGTGTGGGACAGGGACCCCTCAGTCCTCAGGGAGGACCTTCCCAGCTGCGGGAGCCTCCTGATTTTTATCCGCCACGCTTGGGTGTGGGACCAGCCCCTCGCACGCTGCCGCTGCCCCTCCTACCAGTCTGGATGTGGCTGCTGCTTTAATTCCATAGTTGTAGGACTTCCGTTCAGCTTGATTTCAGGCGGTTTTGAATGATGGTTGTTCTGTAGTTTAGTTGTAACTTTGATGTGGTTGTGGGAGGACGTGATACCGCGTTTACCTACGCTGCCATCTTGACTGGAAGTCCTACTTTTTATGTTCTTGAATCTTTGATTAAATGCCTCAATTAGTTTTGCACATTCACCAGCATATTCAAGTGTCATAGAAGGCTTTTGTCCTCCCAGAGTAGGGAAATGCACCGTGTTTGAATTGTACTTTCCACAGTCTTAATTTAGCTTCAAATGATTCATGTTTGAAAGGAGGGAACTGAGATGCTGGTTAGGGCCCTGCAGCTTGACGTCCAACTCTGAAAGTTCCTTGGTAATGTCCATCCTGAATGCTAAATCACGCAACCGCTTGCTATCATTGAGTTTCCTGACAGGTTTTCCCTTCACCTTCATGAACTGCTTGACTTCACCTCAAAGTTCATGAAACCTCATGAGCATGTTCCCTCAACTCAGCCACTGCACTTCACAGTGATAAACAAGATCACTGTACTCAGAGTCAAGATCATTCAATAACTCCTTAAACTGCCGGCTCTTGGCTGTTAAACCCTCTGCTTTTGACAAAATGTATGCATGACACTACTGTTGACATCACATTGTTGAGCTGCAATGACTGTGCACAGAGACTTTCTTGGTGTATGATGCAGTGGCATATAATTCAATCACTTGGATCAAGACTGGGATGATTCCGTTTTTTTTTTTTTTTTCTCATTCGAGGACATTTTTCCATTTTTTGTTCAGATAGAGTGAGAAGGAGAGAGAGGGAGAGAGAGAGAGAGAAACATCGACGTGAAAAGGACACATCGAGTGGCTGCCTCCTGCACGACCCAACCAGGGCTGGGGACAAACTGCAA